CAATTAACAATTTTCTGTCAGCTAAGTTACTAAATTGCTTGGACACATCTAAGTACACTGAGAACTGCTCTGCTTTTTAGACATTTCCATTTTGTAGTCGTTAATATTTAAATGAGAGATGAGCTGCTGGATGTACTGATTTGCATCATTTTATCTCAGTTGATTTTAACTTTGTGTAGCTAGGACTACAACCCTACACAGCTTACAGCTGTCCTTAATGAAGAGCAACCACAGGCTGTATGCAGAGGAGCTTCACGGACAGGTAAAGGGTTTGACTTGGTTAAATCTAATATATGGACCAGCACAGAGCTCATGCTGTGCTATATCTTCTACACATCTTCTTCATTGTCAGCACAACAGCACCAACTGCTGATCAGCTGATCAGTCTACTGTGAGCTGCCATCATGGCAGCTGAACTACTGTAAACCTGAAATAAAGTGCCTGGTATACTGTATTCCTGCACAGCTGTGAGCCTGTCACTCAGCCTGTTCCTGCTGTGTTGTCATTTTCAAGAAGCTAACTTATTAGCACTGATGCTAACAAAACATGCAGGCTGCTCCGTTTTATAACCGTCAGCGGCAGCCAGTGACACTCGCTCTCTTCTACCTTTTCTGGTAGCGTTTAACAGGCGATAAAGCAGGGGCCACTTACCAATGAATTTCTGTTGTGCCATGGTTGAAATCAAAGTCCTCGATGTTCCTCAGCTGGTCACCGCGCACCTCCGGCAGGGAGTTGATCTTCTTGACGGCAGTGCGGCGGTTGATGAACGTTTTCCAGCCGTTCTTGGCCTGCAGGTACATGTTAAAGTAAGCGTGCAGGCACATCGTGCAGGCGCGGATCTTGCTGCCCGCCTCGAACATCATGGTGTAGACGCCATTTCCGAACATGATGACGCCGAACAGGAACTCGATGATGTTGCCCGTGGAGCGCACGTAGTAGACGTAGTCATCCAGCTTCTCCCACAGGACATTGGAGAATCCGTCAGCCATGAAGAGGCCGTAGACGGTCAAAGACACAACCACCTGGAGAGCAGGAAACAGAAACGTGAGCTGAATTTAATCTGCAGAGAGCAAAGCAGACGAGTGAACGGTTTCAGCTCCTGACAGGGAGCGAGCACGCCAACGGGAAGTTTGACAAACTCTCTGTGGTAGGACTTGACTTAAGCGGCCAAAGAAGTGCAGGAGACTGATGCTGTCCAGTGTAGCAAGTGATTTATTCACCATTTGTGACCCAAACAATATTTACAAAAAATAAATAAGAAACTCAACTCCATAGTTAACTCCGTTCAAATAAACATAACTGCACACAGCTACACTGACCTTTTTCCCCAAACACCTGAGTTCTTCTGCTTAAATCGTCCACTTAACCAAACAATTTCTCCTCTGGACTATTGCATTCAGTAGGTAAGATGAATATTATCGACCTCTACTGCGATTCTTTACTAGCAACATAAACTCTGGTGTAATCCATACATTACAACAATAAATCTATTTCTCCATAAACACTCTAAAATCAACTTTTTTTAAATTACAAGAATTCTTCCCCTTCCGCACTTGGTCTCTTCCTGTGACCTCAGATGAACCCAGAAGCTATAAAGCAAGAAGTAAAACTAAATTTCCTCCTTTTGTTTCTGGAAGACAGGTAGGTAAGGCGAGTTCTAACTAAACCAATTAACAGTTGAAATAAATAACATGTTAACTTAACAAACTTGTAGGAATTGATTTAAATGTTAAATTATATAATCTGTAAAAGTGCAAAATACAAACAAACCCGGGATAGTAGATGTTTGCCTACTACAGAATACATATGAAATATGGTTAAATCAAAACAAGAATGTTAACTAAGAATATGGACAAGTGGTACTCTGACCCACACTCTCCTTTAAATTCTGCTCTGTGTGTGTGTGTGTGTGTGTGTGTGTGTGTGTGTGTGTGTGTTCATGCTTCACTGCATGCTCCAAGTTAATTTGAGAAAGAACAAAAATATCCTGCATGCTGTTGATCGCCTGAACTCACAATTCATGTTTTAAGGTTTGAGAGTTTGTTACATTTCTGTTAGTCTTAAAGTTGGGTTTGTTCCTTAAGTTTTACTACCCTGAATACGATGAATCTTCACATTAAACGTAAAAAGTGCAACAGCTCAGACTCCTCTGTGAACGGAGCATAATGCTGACCTCTGGTGACAGCTGGTAATGTTTTTGGACCTCTAAGGCTTGAAGTAAACAGTCTAAAAATATGTAGTCCCGCTCTGGCCTTGTCAGAGAACAGTTTTCGATGTTCGGAACGTCACAAACTCGGCTCATTCCTTGTCAGTTCGGGTCCCAGGCTAGTGATTTTAGTCAAGTGGCGTATGCCCAGAGATATCTAATGTAGGAGCCTGGTGTTCCATGTTCTTATAGTTACATTTGTTCTCTAAGTGGCAGTCAGAAAGCAGCTTTGTATGTATGCAACTCACAACACTTAAGAATTTACAAACTAGTATCTGTGTTTCCTTGTCCACTCTCTTGAATCAGTTTTTAGCTTGTTTGTTGGGCTGTACATAATTGCCTGGCGCCTCACAGCTCGGCTCTCCCTCGCCTATCGAGTAGTGAGTTGTGGGTTTTTAGAGACGTGCTGCAAAGGAAAAGTGGTGCGTTGGATTTATGCTCAAAGTACATCAAAGCGAGAGCATAATTGTTGAAAGGATATCGCAGACAAGTAATTCATTTAATCCTTGATTATTTCTTTGTTTTTCGATAAAGTGCTGGGAAGCCATAAGTGTAATAGAGACTATACTAATTTATACTGTAGGCACAGACTTATAAGCTTCAATAAGCAGAATACTATCAGTGTCCACTGCAATCGCCACGTCTGTCAGAACAGACAAGGCAGAATCCTTACTGGGACTCCTTTTGTAGGGCTTTAAATCATTGCTCTTAATATGTCACATCAATCTCGGTGGATTGATTGTTACAGTCATTTGATTATTTAAGTAACAAGTTTTACTATTCCGGATCTCTTGATCTCTTCTTGACCATAGAATGTTAATTTCATCCATCCATCCATCCATTTTCTTCCACTTATCCGGGGCCGGGTCGCGGGGCAAGCAGCCCAAGCAGAGAAGCCTAGGCCTCCCTCTCCCCAGCCACCTCCTCCAGCTTATCCGGGGGAACACCAAGGCGTTCCCAGGCCAACCGAGAGATATAATCTCTACAGCGTGTCCTGGGTCTGCCACGGGGCCTCCTCCGCTTCTATTCGTGATCTCATTCCTTCGGTCACTACTCACAGCTCGTGGCCACAGGTGAGGGTAGGGACGTAGATCGACCGGTAAATTGAGAGCTTCGCTTTTACATTCAGCTCTCTCTTCACCACAACAGACCGGTGCAGCGTCCGCATCACTCCAGCTGCTGCACCAATCCGTCTGTCGATTTCCCGCTCCCTTCTCCCATCACTCGCGAACAAGACCCCGAAATACTTAAACTCCTCCACTTGGGGCAGGGTCTCGTCCCTGACCCGGAGTGGGCACTCCACCCTTTTCCGGCTGAGGACCATGGCGAAGGGAACAAACCCTCTTGTCCAATGGGAAACACCCCAACATACCAGCAGCAAGCCAAGGGGATACAAAGATACCCACCCTAGCCTGACGCCTCTCACCAGACTGAGGAGACTGGTTCCAGAGCCCCGGCCATAAGTGAGCCTGACTATATCTAGCCAGTACCTCTCAGCCTCACGCACTGGCTCAGGCTCCTTCCCCACCAGAGAGGTGACATTCCATGTCCCAATTGCCAGTCTTGGTAGTCGGGGATCGGGTCAGCCAGGGCCTCCGCTCCTGGCTGCCGCCCGGCTCGCATTGCACCCGACCCCTAAGGTGCCTCCTGCGGGTGGTGTCCCGTTTTCGGCCTGTGCCCGGCCGGGCCGCAAGGATGTTAATTCATTAATTTTTTTCATTAGTTTGAGTCATGCTGAGTCCAAAAAACCTCACATACGTGAAACTGAATGACTAACATAACACACAAAAATCTCACAGACTGTGAAAACGTTGGGAGACATTGGACGTCATCCATTCCAGTCAAAGATAAATTGTTTGCGCTCACCTTGAGGCAGAGCTCAACACAGAAGGCGGTGACGGCAAAGAGCCAGGTGTTGAGGACGTAGTGATGCCAGAGGGCGTAGCTGAGCACCACGGGGAGTACAAAGAGCGCCAGGGACACCAGCAGGACGGGGAAATGCCGCCGAAAAGAGGAGACATGGGAAGCGCTGAGAGACATGAGGACGGGGTCAGTCATGCCGTGAATGAAGTGCAGGATGGCGGTCAGCAGAAGGCACATGTACCGGCTTAGGCGGACCTGTGGATCAAAACCAAGACTAAGTTACGTGTACGAAGTTATTACGTTATAACCACAGGAATACAGGATTACAAAAGGAACAGTGAACTCTGCTACTGTGTGCAAATGTCATTTACAGTATAAATCATTAAACATGTTTTGGTAGTTTAGAGGGCAACATAACAATTCACAAAGAGACTAAAACAGGGGTGGGAAACTCCAGGCCTCAGGGGCCGGTATCCTGCAGGTTTTAGATGCGTCCTTGATCCGACACAGCTGATTCAAATGGTTAAATGACCTCAACATGTCCTGAAGTTCTCCAGAGGCTTGGTAACGAACAAATCATGTGATTCAGGTATGTTGACCCAGGGTGAGATCTAAAACCTGCAGGACACCGGCCCTCGAGGCCTGGAGTTGCCCACCCCCGGGCTAAAACACACAGAACAATGAGAGAAAAACAGTTTGCCGGCTGCTTTGATGGCGTAAACTGAAGCACAATCCGAGACGTACCAGACGTTCCTCAGGTTCCAGGCTGCTGAGGCCAGTCTGAAGAGCCAGGATGAAAAACAGGACAGGAGCCTTAAGCCCAACCGTTTGTCCTCCTCCTCAGTCGAACCTGAAGGTTCAAATTAAGAAAGTGTTCAACTCCAGGAGCATCCAAACAATTTCGTGAAGGGCAAATCAGGAAGGCTTTTAAACTGCTACCACTCCAACTAACAATCTCAGTCATACCTATGAAAGCCAGGATGCTGAGACCCAGGTAATGTGCAACAGAGGAGATAACAGCACTCATCCCCAGCACAGTGAGCGTGGAGTCGCAGCCAGAGATGATGATGTTACTCGTGAGATCCCAGAACACATCCCAGCTCAGCAGGTAACCCTGAAAACGGTGCAGTCACACAGGTACATGCGTCACCTTTACTCATAATCCCGTTTAGCTTCAGTTCAGACTCTGCAGTCTTTTTAGGTGAGACTTTATTATTAACAGCAACACAGAACATGAAGAAGCAGCTTCAGTAGAAAGGAGGTTGTTAAAGAATTATGACCTTGTTATTAGGGGTGCAACGATACTCGTATCGATATTGAACCGTTCGATACAGTGCTTTCGGTTCGGTACGCATATGTATCGAACAATACAAAATTTGTAATTTATTTTATCAACTTTTCTTCTGACGATGCTGTCTGTGTCAGTGGATCTGCGCTCGACAGTGCAGCCTAGGTGGAATAGTCGAACGCAGATTCACTGAGCGCAGGGCAAGCTAGTAGGGCTGGGCGATATGGCCTAAAATTCATATCGCGATATAATTTGATGCATGTGCGGTAAGATATATATCCGATATATTCTTTTCTTCTGTATAACGTATTTTCCACACTATAAGGCACACTTAAAATCCTTTAATTTTCTCAAAAATCGAGAGTGTGCCTTATGTATGAATTCTGGTTGTGCTTACTGACCTCGAACCGATTTGGGCGTGCAGAAATCTGTTAAAAAATGTTTTAGTACGCTGCACTGCTTGATGGATTGTCAGAGAATTACGGCTGCCGTAGTAGGAGCTTCGCAGTAATCTGGGTCCAAAACTCCGTCCATTTCAGGTCCCAAAGTCAAACGAACACTGAGAGTTAAAAACGGTCTAAATTCTTTAATCTTTAATAAAATCATCAGCGTTGCTGCTTTACCAGGTGTAACAATTAAGTTTAACATCCAGGCATCCATGAAAACAGAAGTTATTAAATTTAACGGAGTTAGAAGTTAACAGGAAGTTAGCTCGCTAGTTTTACAACGAATCCATAAAATGTTCTGTATTTACAATAATACAGTGGGGCAAAAAAGTATTTAGTCAGCCACCGATTGTGCAAGTTCCCCCACCTAAAATGATGACAGAGGTCAGTAATTTGCACCAGAGGTACACTTCAACTGTGAGAGACAGAATGTGAAAACAAAATCCATGAATCCACATGGTAGGATTTGTAAAGAATTTATTGGTAAATCAGGGTGGAAAATAAGTATTTGGTCAATAACAAAAATACAACTCAATACTTTGTAACATAACCTTTGTTGGCAATAACAGAGGTCAAACGTTTACTATAGGTCTTTACCAGGTTTGCACACACAGTAGCTGGTATTTTGGCCCATTCCTCCATGCAGATCTTCTCGAGAGCAGTGATGTTTTGGGGCTGTCGCCGAGCAACACGGACTTTCAACTCCCGCCACAGATTTTCTATGGGGTTGAGGTCTGGAGACTGGCTAGGCCACTCCAGGACTTTCAAATGCTTCTTACGGAGCCACTCCTTTGTTGCCCGGGCGGTGTGTTTTGGATCATTGTCATGTTGGAAGACCCAGCCTCGTTTCATCTTCAAAGTTCTCACTGATGGAAGGAGGTTTTGGCTCAAAATCTCACGATACATGGCCCCATTCATTCTGTCCTTAACACGGATCAGTCGTCCTGTCCCCTTGGCAGAAAAACAGCCCCATAGCATGATGTTTCCACCCCCATGCTTCACAGTAGGTATGGTGTTCTTGGGATGCAACTCAGTATTCTTCTTCCTCCAAACACGACGAGTTGAGTTTATACCAAAAAGTTCTACTTTGGTTTCATCTGACCACATGACGTTCTCCCAATCCTCTGCTGTATCATCCATGTGCTCTCTGGCAAACTTCAGACGGGCCTGGACATGCACTGGCTTCAGCAGCGGAACACGTCTGGCACTGCGGGATTTGATTCCCTGCCGTTGTAGTGTGTTACTGATGGTGACCTTTGTTACTTTGGTCCCAGCTCTCTGCAGGTCATTCACCAGGTCCCCCCGTGTGGTTCTGGGATCTTTGCTCACCGTTCTCATGATCATTTTGACCCCACGGGATGAGATCTTGCGTGGAGCCCCAGATCGAGGGAGATTATCAGTGGTCTTGTATGTCTTCCATTTTCTGATGATTGCTCCCACAGTTGATTTTTTCACACCAAGCTGCTTGCCTATTGTAGATTCACTCTTCCCAGTCTGGTGCAGGTCTACAATACTTTTCCTGGTGTCCTTCGAAAGCTCTTTGGTCTTGGCCATGGCGGAGTTTGGAGTCTGACTGTTTGAGGCTGTGGACAGGTGTCTTTTATACAGATGATGAGTTCAAACAGGTGCCATTCATACAGGTAACGAGTGGGGGACAGAAAAGCTTCTTACAGAAGACATTACAGGTCTGTGAGAGCCAGAGATTTTCCTTGTTTGAGGTGACCAAATACTTATTTTCCACCCTGATTTACGAATAAATTTTGGATTTTTTTTTCACATTCTGTCTCTCACAGTTGAAGTGTACCTCTGGTGCAAATTACTGACCTCTGTCATCATTTTAAGTGGGGGAACTTGCACAATCGGTGGCTGACTAAATACTTTTTTGCCCCACTGTAAAACCCAGGAGGGCATGGAGCTACCTGCCAGAGAGCAGCAGGTAAGCGCATATTTTCCACTCGATAAAAGTTAACGTGAGGGATTCTGGTGGTTAGGGACAAATGCAATCGCATAGCAGGATGCTATACACGGGGCAAACTTCAGTCAGGAGAACAACTGAGATTATTCATCCACAATACAAGGTTAGTTATTAATATACTGCAACAACATGGGAATAGAGCAGCTGCGAGAGAATTCAACATTAATGAATCAATGTTACGGAAGTGGAGGAAGCGCAGTTTTTGGCTTTCCCCATATTTCAAAAGTGCTTCATCTCTTTGCTATGACTGTCCCGGCATAATTTGCAGATGATAATGGTTGTAGCCGCTGCGATGCTTTCGACCAAAACAGGCGCAGCTTGATGACATCATCAACATGCGCTATCGCGATAGAGCGATATAGTCAAAATCTCTATCGTTGGCCAAATTTATATCGTTTCTATCGTATATCGTTTATATCGCCCACCCCTACAAGCAAGATAGAAGTTAAGCTCTCCTTGCAACATGGCAAATTGAACCTCCCCCACCCTCATTCAGATCTGGCGTTTGGAATTATTTTGGTTTTCATGTGACGTATGACCCTGAAGGTAAGCGCGTCATGGACTAAAGTAAAACAGTATGTTGGATGTGCCACGCAATGCTCAATTACATGGGTGGGAACTAGTGCGTTAGCGCAGTTAGCTCGTTAACGTGTTGGCCGTCCAGCCCCACGCACGGGGCGATCCGCGGTAGCTCGTTAACGGAGATTTGCCGTGTTGTGGCGTTAACGTCATTTCAGATTAACGCTGACAGCACTAGTGGGAACACAACGAATATGACTGCACATTTACGCCGACATCATCCTAGTGCAAAGACAAGTGGAAGCAGACAAAAACAACAAGCACGCATGCTACAAACTTTACCCGAGTCATTTAGACAGCCGTTAGCACATGATTCTCCTTATGGGGACCTGATATGTTTAATATGCTGCTGAGAATATAGCCCAGAAGAAGCGTATAGTATAGCTTTTGTTTTGGAAAGAGCCATTTCTCTGTAATAAACTCTCTTTTCCAAAGATGAGTGATCTATCAGATAGATTTTTTTTATTACTTTGTTGTTTCAGCAACATTAAATTTAAAAACTGTACTTTTGAGTTAAAATATATATTTATAATTTTAATAAATTACAAATTAAAAAGGCATGAACATTTTTTTGTATCGAAAAAATATTGAACCGTGACACCAAACTATCGAACCGAACCGTGAATTTTGTGTATCGTTGCAGCCCTACTTGTTATGTAGTGTGCATCATTTTTAACTGCTCTTCCGACATCAGACACTGTTTATAAATTATTAAAAGAATATTTCACATTGAAATTCGTGCATTAATATACCTGTAAAACACTGCAAAGAGCTAATGTGCCAGCTGGACTTTACTTGGCTACAGAACACAGGAAACCTGTAGAGGTCACCTACATACATTTTAGGCTTTCAGAGATATTTTTAAACACACAGGAACTAATTTTTAGATATAATTACAGAAATCCAACAGGGGCGCCTGGGGCTGCAAAAGGAAAACTTCTTTCCCCAAACAAATATATGACTTTTGTAAACATTATGATATGTCAAAGACTCTGAATAAGGTCATTAACCAAATATCAATTCACTGTGGCTAACATCTTGTTAGCTTACCTTGCTTATGAAGTGACCATCATATAGCAAACATGTCCTAGAAGTGAAGTTTTTTTTTTATCTAAAAGCATTTACCTGTGCATCAGAGCTCCCATCTGCAGCTCCACCTGTGGCATCTCCGCTCTCTCTCCCCACCGCCTGCACCACGTAAACCAGTATCAGTGCCTGGGCTGTTACCCGGGTCAGCCAGAACACTCGAAGCACATCAGGGAACCTGATCCTCTTCCACGTGTCTTCCAGCAGCAGCTGGAGTCCGTAGATCCTGTACATGTGCCGTACGAGCAGGTAGACGTACCGGCATGAATAGTAGAACCATTTGAGCCTCGTGGCGAGGCAAACGGCTGTGCTGAGAGCCAGCACCAGGCCCGAGAACATTGCCACCAGATGCCTGACATCTGCAGGAAGTTCAATCATCAGCCCCCACAGAGGAATCATGATGTCCAGGACCACCAGCGCAGCAAACACAGACTGGAGGTTAAGCAAGAACACATAGCCAATCCCAAAGACGAGCTGGACGGCGGCCATGCCCAGCCACAGCGTCGGCCCGTTTCTAGGCAGCAACCTGAAGCCCAACGCTGCTTTATAGTAGGCGTTGTAGAAGTCCATGTGGGAGGTGGCGTAGTAATTTATGAGGACTGCTGCCATGCCAAGGAGGACAGCAAAGAATAGAGTGTAGAACTTAAACAAGGCTTTCTGAGAAAGCAGCAGCACCACAGTGGAGATGAGGACACCTGGAACACACCGGAGAAGCAGTCAGAAAGACAGGAAAGGCAAATATTTCTCACTGCAAACTCAACAAATGTCAGCTAACTGTAGCTTCCAAGTTTGTCTGATTATAGTGAGTATTTAGATCAATCTTTGTGAGAAAACAACAGATGCTGCACATTAAAGAATTTTGGAGCAAAATAATCAGCATAGAGTTGAGTAATCCTGATAAGTCAAAGGCTGAACAAGCAACATACATAATATAACATAAATAGAAAAACAAATAAGAACAAAAACAAACAAAGAAATGCCTTTCACAGTCCACGTAATGCTACGTGTGCATTTGATAACACTATGATAAACTGATAGTACATACTGTAGAGGACCTCAACCAACCTGAGCCTTACTGCTTTAATATAAAGTTGTTCAAACATCTGGCACTATGGAGTCTCTGTTCCTGTACTAAACATAAAGAAACACGGGTACAGAAGCAAACCCAACAGCTAATCTCACTTCCTGTCCATCCAAACCCAGAGCTCTTGGCTAACACTTTCAGATGGCCCGAGCTGCTCAAAGGTCTGCAAACTGGAAAACTGAGGTACATAACCTGTTTGTTGACTCAACACAGAGAAGCTTTACTCTGTCACAGTGATGAAAACGAGGAGCTGTTATGAATTACGGGGTGTAGAGGAAACTCAAAGTTAGTCAGGCTACAGACTTATTCTATCAATAAATAAAAAGTGAA